CCCTTGGACGTGAGATCCCTGCACTGTACCTCTTTGGCAGAGACGCCTGGCTGAGAGACAGTGGAACCAAGAAGCATTACACGGAGTGGTGGGCTTCTCAGCACAGGGAACGAGAAAGCTGAGTGCTCTTGGGAAGGAGCGTTGCTGGCGGCGTGGGGTGCACCTAGGTGTACCTATTGGCAGGGCTAAAAGAGCTCTGTAACATTTGCCGGAGCAGGGCAGAGGTCAGGGTGAGAGGCCAAGGGCCAGAGAGGTGTGTCTGAGGCCACGGCAGAGGGGAGACTGTCCTGATGGAAGAAATGTATCCTGAGTGTGTTTCTGAACCTGTTACTTCCCTAATAAACCCCATAATCGTGAGTTGTGTGTGGCCATTGCCACGAATTATCGAACCCCACAGAGAAGCAGTGAGGTGCCACGGGAGGGACGGCTGGTGTGAGAACTGGTAAAAGGCTGGAGGGTGGCAGCATGTCTGTCCTCGTAGGAATCAGCCTGTGAGGTGATGGTGGCTCTGTCTCCCCTATGCCCTTTTTGTATACCTACTTCCTTCCGATGGAGAGAGGAATAAGCCCCTCATCCACACCCATCTCCAGCAGCAAGATGTCCTGCTCTTGGTGCTCAGTCCCTGCCATGCTGCACCCAGCACATGTGCGTTGGCCCCTGGGCCCCGCCTCACTCCATGCCAACACCAACTCCGGAGAGCCTGCAGGTCTCCACTAACCTGAATCGTCCAGCCTCCTGAGGTTGGGGTGACTGGCCTGGTACTTTGATTCCTGCTCTTTACTTGTTGTTATGGCATCTTTCAATCTTTGGGTAAAAGCAAAGAAAAGAGAAAATTTTAATAAAGGAAAGTTACCTGTCACAGTGCCATCCGTCTTTGCATGCGAGGCCCATACGCAAAAAACCAAATGCCTTCTTCTGTGCCAAGCTCCTTCTGACCAACCTGGCGGCATTTTGACAGGAGCTTCTGGGTGCAGGAACTTACAACGACATCAGGCTTAGAAGCATAGCAGGTCATCCTTTCATTCTGTTTTTAACTTTTTATGGTGATTGGGTGGAAGTTTACGGCAGAAACTGGTTTCCGTGGAACAGTTCATACATGTTTTGTTCTGTGACATTCACTACATCCCTACGATGTTAACAACCCTTTTCCCATTTGCTCTTCTTTCCCATCCCGTTCTGCCCTCTGAACTTCATCCCTGATAGCCCTTTTTGGGAAAAGTCTGAGGACCAGTCAGAAGGAAAGTATATGCAATGACTACATGGATACTTTAAATGAAGGGCTGGCAAACCACGACCACAGTCCGAACGTGGCCACAGCCTGTCTGTGTGCAACCATTAAAATGACCATGTGCCGTCATGCAGATGACTGGAAACATGGCTGCTGACCCTCGTTAACGATCTCATTCTTCTCATTAGTTGGCCTCTCTTACAAAACAAATTGTAGTCAATTATTTTTAATTTTGTCACTAAACATTTGTGACAATTGGTTTCCTCTTGCTACATAAAAAACTGAAACCAAGTGCAGTGTAGTAAATTACCTGGTATGGCTTTTCCAGCTATAAGTCTTTGTAAACTCTGGTGGAATTTGCCATGAGCAACTGAGTAGCTCCTGATTGTTAAAGCTATCCACCTGGGGTTTTTCTGTTGGGAGCAGCACAAAGTAATTTTCTGGGAAGTTCTCTCTTTCTCAGGTGTATAGAATTCTGATATTGGGATTGGTTAGTGGTCACTCTGCCAGGCTCAAAAGGTGCCCTCCTAGAGACAGAAGGAGTCTTTCTGACTGCTAGCTGAGAAAGACGTGCTGCTGAGAGAAATGCACTCCTGAGAAACATGCGTTGCTGAGAAAGAGAGACAGTGAGAGACCTGTACTGCTGGGAGAGAGATGGCAGGCTGAGAGACGGCAGGCTGAGACAGCAGGCTGAGAGAGACTGAGCATTGTTCCTTAACTTGAATTTTATGTAGGTTGGTGCTTCCCTAATAAACCCCATAGTCTGTGAGTTCTGTGTGGCCACTGCAGCAAATTACTGAACCCAACAGAAAGGTGATGGGTGCTGCAGGAACAACGGTTGGTGTCAGGGTTGATGAAAGGGCTGGAGGGAGGCAGCATGTCTGGCATCCCAGGAACAGGCCTTGGGCTACTGATGGTGATTCTGTCTTCCTCTTGTGGGGTTAGAGGAGGTCAGAAGATGTGGCCATCTCGCTCCTTTGGCACTAAGCCAGTTGCCACTGAGTTGATTCTGAATCCTGGCGCCCCATGGGTATGTCAGAGTGAAACTGCCCCAGAGGGTTGTCAATGGCTGCTTTTATGGGAAGTAACCACAAGGCCATTCTTTCAAGTTGCCTCTGGGTGGACTCAAGCCACCAACCTTCCGCTTTAACTGAGTGTTTAACTGTTTGTGCTATCCATGGACTCTACTGTAACATAACAAAAGCACAGCCACTGTTAGGAAGTCTATTTCAACTCAGCACCCCTAGAGGACAGAGTGGAACTGCCCACAGGGTCTCAAGGCTGTCAATCTTCTTGGAAGCAAAGCCCAAACCATACCCACTGCTGTGGGGTCAAGTCCAACTCACAGTGCCCCTAGAGGACAGAGTGGAACTGCCCACAGGGTCTCCAAGGCTGTCAGTCTTCACAGAAGCAAAGCCCAAACCACACCTACTGCCATGGAGT